ATGAGGTTGTCCCTTGTACCCGCTAAGACTGTTTCCAGGAAATACCCATTTGCCAGGACACGAAAATCCACTGTTGTTCAAGCCCCTTCTATAAAATTAGGTATTTGCATAGAACCTATGCATATCCTCCTTCATACTTTAAATCCCCTCTAAATTACTTACAATGCCTAACATGATCTCAATGATGTGTAAATAATTATTATACTCTATTACATAGGAAATAATGACCAAAAAAAGTCTATACATGTTTAGCATGAATGAAATATTTTTAATAATGTTTTTTGAATCATGGTTGGTTGAATCCTAGGATATGAAAAAGCAACTGCAACTTAAAGTCTAATACATATTTCTTTACTTAGAATGGCATTAACTAATGAGAACAGTCAAGGGACAAACTTTCCATAGAAGAAAGGGAAGAGCCTTATATTTGAGTACCTTTAAAGTCATGTTTTTCCCAGTTTTTGAATTAAGGAGTGTGTGTTAGTTTTACACTGCTGTGAAAACATATCCAAAGTAATCAACTTATAAGGAGGAAAGATTTGTTTTGGTTCACAGGTTTTTTTGGTTTTTGGCATCCTGGGGTTCGAACCCAGGGCCTTTGCACTGAGCTACATTCCCAGCCCTTTTTGTTTTTATTTTGAGATAGGGTCGCAGTAAGTTGCCCAGGCTAGGCTCAAACTTTTGATCCTCCTTCGTCAGCTCCCCAGAGCGCTTGGACTGCAGGTGCTACCATACCCAGTTGGCTCACAGTTTTAAAAAGTTTCAGTGCATGATCTCTTGGCCCCGCTGCCTTTTAGACCTGTGGTGAGGCAGTGCACCATGGTGGAAGGGCATGGCAAAGACTCTGCTCACCTCATGGAAGCCAGGAAGCTAAGAGAAAGGGTCTCATTATCCCCCCTCAAGGGCACAACCCCAGGGGCCCAACTTCCTTCCACCAAGCCCCTCCTTCTATAGGTTCTACCACTCCCCAGTAGTGCCATCAGGTGGGGACCAAGCCATCAACACATGGGCCTTTGGGGGATATTCAAGACCCAAACCATGGAGAAGCGCCACATTTTCGTTTTGTCCTGGGCCCTGATAATATTGCAGCCAGCCCTGGAAGGGCTCTTGCTGACATGGGGATTTATTTCTAGAACCATGGAGCACCTGAGGTTCCTGAGGCTGCAGAGGGTGACTAACAGGCAGGCTCCCAGGTCCCCTTCCCTCACCCAGAAATCAAAGCCAGGGTAAGCAGTCCACGACCTTGACCTTGGTAAGACATCTTCCCAGAGGTTAGGGGACTGCTACTGAACAGGAAGAGTCACATGGCCTTGAGTCATGGCTTTAACTGAGGGTCTGGTTCCTCCAGCTCTGGTGGGACAGGGTGTCACAGGCCTGGCTCACTGGACAGGCAGCAGCAACATTAGGCAGCATTGTACAGATGGCGGAGAAACTAAGGGACCTGGATAGTGCCCTCCAGGAGCCCTGCTGTTGCCCTGGGGTCCAAGGTGCCTCCTTTGCTTCAATAACACAGCTGACTCCAGGTGTTAGCAAGAGGATGTCCAGCAAGCTGGACAGTGTCAGTGTCACACACACACATGCAAGCTCCAACACAGAGGGGTGCCCACTGAAGATTTCCAAATGAATGGGCATGAGATCTGGGTGGGTGAGTCCACAGGCTTAATCTTGGCACTGCTCCTGGGCTTCCTCAGCATGCCCCCAAAGGTAGGATCTACAGGTCACATTCTCTGCTGATCTAACAACAAAGAGTGCTAAATCAAGGCTTATAGAAACATTCCCAGGACACCCCAGTGAGCTACTTGGTGTGCTTGCTGTAAGAAACAGACTAGAAGAGTTTATTGATCACAAGTAACAACAGGTCCCCAGAGCTCCATTGAGCTCTGGTCATTGGATAGTTCTCATGCCTTTGTACCCACCCCAAACTTGCTGGGCAGTGATACTCAATCCAGACTCAGTGGAGTCTGTCATGTTAGTAAAGAACCCCAATGCTGAAAGCACCATTCCATTCCCCTGTCCATGGACTCAGATACCCAGAGGTTGTCCTAACGCCACCCTGATCACCTTCTGCTTGGAATGGGATGGACTTCTGACCTCCAGGCAGGGCAAAGCCTGGATCACTGGCTCTTGGCAGAGTCCTGCTGCCCACAGTACAGTCTATGAACCAGGCAAGACCCTATCCAGGCTGGCTCAGCCAGAATGGTGAACTACTAAGGGTATCTTCTCCAGGAAAGCCACTGGGTCACCCTCCCTGACAGGTGATGGGTCAAGACCTGGGTTTGAATCCCAGTTCCTGCTATTTCCAAACTGACCTCAAACACTTAATCTGAAGTGTAAATGACAGTTTGGGGGACTAACAAGGAGCAAACAGCCAGGGGCACAGGTGACCCACTTCAAGAGTGCCACCATCCACTCTCAAAAGTGTTCCTGTCTAGACAAGAAGCTAGTCATCACCTCTCATGTCTCCTGGTGGGACAGAGCCACAGGATGCAGAACCACCAAACCCAAGCCTCATCACAGTGCTGCTCTTGATCTCCCCTTTCCAACTCCAGGAAACAGAGGGTCAGAATGCCAGAGCGTTGCCATCCTGTCAACCAAGAAACACTGAGGGAAGCCAGGCATGGTGGTGCACACCCGTAATCCCCATACTCTGGGAGGCCAACCCTGGCCTGCACAAATGAATAACTTCAGGAGACCTTGTCTCTAAATTTAAAAATATTTTAAAAGCCTGAGGATGTAGCTCAGTGGGAAGACTTTGTACTCAATCCCTACTACTGAAAACTAAATACATTTAAATTAAAATAAAAAATAAAACTGAGGGAAATGCCTACAAAATGCTGAAGAGACCCATGCTGTGAATTTGGTGTGGACTTCAGATAGATCCTGAGTTCATAACCTAACTGAGCAAACTTTTGAGACAAAAATCAGACAAAACTGCACCATTGGTTGGGGATCTGATGACATGCAAGAATTGCTGTGCCCTGGGGGTGATGAGGGAATTAGGGTTTCCTTTAGAGACACACATGGACAAAGGCAACCATACAAATTCTCGTTTGCTTCAAAAGCACTTGGGGCGCCGGGCATGGTGGCACACACTGGTAATCCCAGCACTCAGGAGGCTGAGGCAGGAGGATTGTTGTGAGTTCGAGACCAGCCTGGGCTACAAAGTGAGTTCAAGACCAGCCTGAACTGCATAATGAGACCCTGTCTCAAAAAGACAAAAGAAAAAAAAAGAACTTGGGGAGCTGGGGATATAGCTCAGTCTCACAGCGCCTGCCTGGCAAGGGCAAGGTCCTGAGTTTGATTCCGGGTACAAAAAAAAGATGAGTAAAAGTCTTTGGGGGCGCCAGGCTACTTAGGAAGCTGAGGCAAAAGGATGGCAAGTGTGAGGTCAGGCTGGGCAACCTAGTAAGATTCTCTCCCAAAATAAAATTTTAAGAGAACAGAGACATAGCTCAGTAGTAGTATTTGCCAAGCATGTTTGAGGCCCTGGGTCCAATCCTCAGTACCACAAAAAAATGAAAAAACCAGGACCATGAAACTACCAAGACTTTGCAGTTTTGTTTACTGCAAACTGGCCCCATTTCTGAGTTGGGGAGGGTGGTGCCCCACCCCCACAGGCAAGATCATTATCCTATGATCCTGGATGATCTTGGTGACTGGAGGCCTCTCCCTGAGGTCCACGTGAGGAGTCACAGGGAAAGCTGAGGACCATGGCACTGCACTAGTAGCCTGGGAATAGATCCATGTGGGGTGGCCCTTGTTTGGTCATCACACTGTCCTTCAAAAAGGCAGATTCAACACTGACCTTGACTGGACAGAAGCTCTGAGGACCTCTGCTCCTCTGGTAAGGGCGGGGTGGGCGGGAGTGTGCTGTCAGCCCTGCTTTCTGAGAGCAATGCATCCCAAGAGCAGTGTATACCACTGACATGGTTACACCTGCTCTGCAACATGGCTGGCCACACCCCTCTCAGGGCTCCAACGGCTGTGCCCCAACCACTCCCTCATGAAGGAAGGAGTGCCTGCAGCTCCCTAGAACAGCCTGAAGATCCCCCAGCCCCTCCCATACCCTTGCAGTAAAAGGGTGCTTTCAGCACAGGGAAACTTCAAAGCTGCCGAGGCCCACGGTCAAAGGTGGAGCTATGTAATTAATACCCTACCACATCTCTCTGAGGTGAGGGAACCCTGGAGGTATTATGGGTGACAATTCCAGAGAAGTTTTCCAGACTGCTAACCAAAGGTGGCTCCCACAATTTGGGTAAGAGACATGCAGGGCCTTGCCACAGATACCTGGCCCCTGCGGCCAGCACACACACGGGCGGGCAGGCTGCAAACTCACCAGCACTTCCCAAAGCCTTGCCAGCCTGTAAGGTAGCCTGGGGTTAGTATGATTGTGGGTCAATCATTTGCCCAGGGGCACCTAGTTGGTAATTCTGGATGTGGAGTCCTGCCCTACAGTCCCTCAGAGGAGAGCAAGCAGTGCTCATAATGATGGCCTGGATCCAAGCCCTACACCCAGAACTTGCCCTGGAACTCTGCACCTGTCAGTGGCCTCTGCACTTCAGTTTCCTACAGAAAATCCAGCCCCATTTGGACCATCCCCCAGCTCACAGCCTCAGCCCCACAAGGGGTCTGTATTGCCCTGGCATCTACCAGCCCTGGCTTGGCTGAACTCGAGTCTCACACATGTCCATAGTAGGTGGCAAGGGTACAGAGAAGAGACCACAGCAATCGGGGCCACATACCTGGCTCTCACCTGGAACATGGCACACAACCTCTGGAGAGGGCACTGCCAAATGCCAGTGATCAGCTGAACTAACATATTCATGAAGTTCACTTTTGCTAAAATAGGTAACCCCATAGGCCAGCTAAGCAGCACTGCCCAACCCAAGGACCCCAGGCTGGGTTTCAGAGGAGGGAGTCCCACCAAGCACTTGTCCCTGTAGACCTGCCAGGTCCACACCTCTGCCAAGTTGGAAAATTCCAGGTTGTGGGGTAGGCAGTAGGGATATAAACAATCTTTATTGTGCTCCAAGCCTAAGGCTACTTTGTACAAAAATAAGTCTTCCTATTTTCAACAGAGTCCCTCCAGCAGTTCAAGTTAATGCATTAAAAAAAAAAAAAAAAAAGATCCCCCCGTGTCCTTGTAAACTCCTCTCTGTAAAAACCTCCAGGCGCTGGTGCCCAGCTGGGGAGGGCCAGTGAAAGCTGCCAATCCACGCGAGGCCAGGAGGGCTGGTTTCACAAAGTGCTTGTCAGGCTGGACAGGACAGGCAGCGTTGGCAGATCCTCTGCTAGGTGGGGACTGAGCACGGGCGGGTCCTCGTGGCAGGTTCCAGGTGACAGGCGCTCCTGCCTCCAGGCGTCCAGGTTGCGCTGCCGGGACAGAACTGGAGTTAATGCGGGCCGGCCGCTGGGCAGACCCGGCCCTGCTCAAGCCTCCCAAAACGCAGTCCGCAGTTTTGTTCGCTTTGGAGTCAGTCCATGATTGCCTCGACTCGGTCTAAGGCTCAGCCGGGTGGGGGCGGGGTGCGCGTTGAGCGAGTCGCGGTGACTCAGGACTCCACTCCCGCCGACTCATTCCGGCACCCCGACCCGGGAGGTGATTTGCAATGCAAAGTCACCCCGCCTCCAGCACTCAGTTCTGTCGGGCACCCGCAAGAACTGGGACCTCACCGGCCCGAGGGCCGCTCCCCCTACCCTCCCCCACTGGCAGCGGGGCCCGGAGAGGAAGTTTTGCAATCTCGGACAAACAAACGCAGGTCTTGCACAGGCTTGAAAAAGTTTGGGGGAAAATGAAGAGTGAGCGAAACCGAAGCTATCGCCGGCCTAGCGCTCTGCTCCAATGGGTCTCCGGACGCGACCTGCTAGGCCTGCCCACCGCCCACCCTGCCCGCCACCCCTTCTTCGACTCTTCCTTCTTGAAGAGGTGTGATACTTACCTCGGGGTCGAGGACCCTCAGAAGCCCCCTAACCAGCTAGATAAGTCCAGCAGGTCGCGCTCTGCAGGGCTCAACTCGCCCTCGCAGCGGCTGTCGTCCGAGGAGTAGGCGGAGCGCGGAGACTCGGGCTCTGAGCTGACCCCGCCGCCCGGGGACGAAGAGGAGCAGGAGGGCGAAGTAGCGGCAGAAGAAGTCTCGGGAAGCTCGCGAGAAGCCGGGGCACGCGTGGCCGGTGCCAGCAGGCCCCCGGCCAGCGCAGCGCGTACGGCGTCGTGCTCAGCCAGCAGGCACTGCAACGCGCGGATGTACTCCACTGCCGAGCGCAGCGTCTCCACTTTGCTCAGCTTCTTGCTGGCGCCGCCGTGCGGCACGTGCTGCCGCAGCGCCTGGAAGCCCAAGTTCACCAGCTTCACGCGGTTGCGCTCGCGCTCGTTGCGCCGCGCTACGGCCGCTGCGCAGCTCCCGGACTCCGCCGTGCTGGGCCTCCGCCGCCTGCTGCAGCGCAGCAGTTCCGGTGATGTGGATCTCCGCCCGGCAGCGGAGGCGACAGGGACTGCAGGCGAAGGAGACACAAGTCCGGGCAGTGCGCCGCCGTCCATCGCGCCCGCATCCACTCGCGGGGCGCCTGCTCCCAGCCCCGACGCGCTGCAAAGAAAGTGCGCGCAATAGAGGCACAGTCCGTGGGAAGGAGACCGCTGCGCCCCAAGAAGGCCTCGGACGCTGTACTGCCGAGCAGTTCACCGGGGCACCCGTCCCAGATCTTCTGGAGCCCGGGCACGGCGTGGCGCAGGAGGCCAAGGGGTGACGAGCCGTGCACGCTGAGAAGCTCAGGGCGCTCGCGTCCCGCGCGTGCGGCCGGATCTCCGCCGGTGCGCAGCGCAGGCGGCTCGTTTTTAAACGTATAGATAACCCTCCTCCGCGCCGCCGCCTTTCTCACACCCTCCTTCCTCTGCCTCGCCCTCCAGACACGCTTTGCCCTCCCCCTCTACAAAGCCCAAACCTTGCGCGCGCCCTCCGCCTAGTCGCCCGGGGGCACGGCTGGCAGGTCGCTGATGCACCCCCCGCTCCTGGCAGGTGCCTAGTGCGCCTCCCAAAGCGCCTCACGCAGATTTGCCTGCGAACTGGCTGCTGTCTGCAGGTCCCCCACCTCCAGGAACTCTTAGCAGTCCCGAGCGTAACCTTCCTGTATCCCCCGCCCTCCCGCGCGCAGCACTCAAGCGCCAAGAGCCGCCGGCCCTCTCTACACGCTCAGCTCTCGCAGGGATGGCAGGTGTGGCCACTGCCGCTGGGCTGTCCGAGAGACGCGCGCGAGACCCCCTGGGGCAGCACGCGCCGCCCGCCACCGCCCCCCGAAGAGGAGGCGGGGGGTGGGCTCTCAGCCAATCGTGGGCCTCCGGTTTGGCCAATCACGGCGGGCACGGCCCCACGCCCAGCCCCCTGGAGGAAGCGTACGCCTGGCGCGTGGCGGCTCCCGGGGAGCGTCGCGAACAAAGCTGCGCACCCGCTCGGCCCCGCCCTGTTCCGTCCCCGTGACAGGGATGACTACCCTTAGCCCGCGCACACCTGGACCTTACATTGTGACGGGACTTAAGAAGTAATAGAGACCTGGATGGCTGGGAGATTCTGGTTCTCCAGTAAACTTCTCCACCCGTGTCACGCTGCGCACAGCCTGTGCTTGTGATTTCTGTGCGCTCTGGGCCGGGGTCTGGCGACGCCTTGAGCCAAGGGACTGGAGGTTTGCCCCAAACGCTTCAGGCCGGGGCTGCGGCCAAGCCTACCGCTAGAGCTCTGCCCAGACTCTTTTTCCAGTGTTCCCCACCTCAGCTGTATCCTGTCCTCGGCTTCCTAGTCACTCCTCCATTCCTGTCCACACCTCTTCCATCTCGCTTTTCTCTCACCTCAATTCGTTCCCTAAGCTGTTTTTCCTCAATGACAGCCCTGGTGGCTTGAGCTGGGTCTTCCCTGGCCTATCCCCAGGGGACACTGAGATGGAGTGGGCGGGGGGAGGGGAGGGGCAGGTCGTTGGGAACAGCAGCTTTGCTCCGGCATGGACCGCGGGCAGAGTCTGAGCCTCCGGGAGAGACATAAACGGTTTCTCCCCGACCGAGGGAGGTAAATTGTGGGGTGTGAGGGGCAGGGACTTCGGAAATGCAAAAAATTGACTGTCCATAGAATAGTTTTAAACCTGCACCATTGTCCAAGAACTATGTCCTCCGGGCCATAGCCAGGCCAGTTTTTCCCCAAGGGACCATACAGTCCGGAGAACACAGTGATGGGTCAGGTGACTCAGCTGCCTGGAGCTGCCTTCCCTTCTGGCCGGGGGAAGAGGGGAATGGGGCCCAGCCCCTCCTCCAGGGAACTCACTGACAGGCAGGGTGTATTTACTACCAGCCTGTGGGTGCCCACTGGCTCCTGGCACCCTGCAGGACCCTGCTTGGCCTGCTTGACCTTCCCACCACAGGCAAAGTCTGCAGAGTAGCACCCACCCAGTTGCCTGCTCAGAGAGGGCCTGGGGTGAGTCCAGTCACACCTCTGCGCAAGGAGCAGTGTGGCTAGAAACGGGACCTGAGTCCGAATCCAGGCTCGCTGCCCAGGATCATCTCTGCACCTGTCTGCCCAGAGGACCGTGTCCTTCCCTGACTATAGCTTACCAGAGTGGATCTGATGGTTTAACTCTCTGCTCCGTCCATGTGAACTTCAGGCCAAGGTTCCAGGACCAGTCCCAGAGCCCTGCACACGGGGCCTTGAAAGACCTTGCCTGGCCTGGAGACGCTGTGTTCACTGTGCACTGCAGACTGCCAGGGCATTTAGTGGCTTGGACAATGATTTGTTATTTCCCAGTATACTGTGGACTTGTATCCAGCCTGGACAATGGTGCAGGTTTAAAACTATTCTATGGACAGTGAATTTTTTGCATTTCCTAAGTCCCTGCCCCTCACAGCCTACAAATACTGTGTTATTTCCCAGTATACTGGTGGTTGGTTTCTTTTCTGGTTGAGCAGTAGCTTCCCTTGGGGGTCCATGGGGAACAGTAGCTAAGGCTGGCCCTGAACTTGATCTTCATTAGGGTTAGTCCCCAGGATCTCCCAAACAGAGCCTTTGAGGCCCCTTAAATCCTAGGGTTCCAAAACTTCTGTCGAAACAACTCTTTAAAGCCTCAGAGACCTGTTTCTTTCTTCGGTGTCCACCGGCATGGCCCTGCGCCCACACCTGCCATGCTGCTGCCAGTCCAGCACCCCTTCTTCCCCAGGCACCTCTTCTCCCTTCTCCCTCTTCCCCATCTTGGCCGTACCTTCTGGAAGGCGGCCTACCCTCCTGCAGCTTAAAGGCTGCAGTCCCGCAAGGGCCCAGTGTCCCTCCTGGGGATGGCTCTTGCCTTTCATTTCTTGGCTTCACTTAGCCACAGCCTCTGTCCTCTGGTTTCTGTCAGCATTTGACACCACAGCAGCTCCCTTGTGCCTCTTTCCTGGGCACACTGATTCTACTTTCTGGGTTATACTTTCTATCCTGAGACATAGGCCCTCACTCCACCTTGAAAGCCACAACCTGAGTGGGCGTGGTGGCCACACGAATGTTTCAAAGCAGCCAAATGTCCACCTAAAGACAGATGGAGGGATAAAACATGGTTCAGCCACACAGGGAATACTGTTCAGCCATAGAGACAAGACACACTGAACACACTATCACAGGATACGGAGTGAACCTCGAAAACAAGTAAAAGAAGCCAGGCACAAAAGATCACATATGGTATGACTCTGTTTCTAGGAAATGTCCGGATCAGGCCTATCTACCCAGGTGGAAGGCAGACTCCTGGCTGCAGGGGCTGAGGAACAAGAATAAGGAGACAGGAGGTAATAGTTAAAGGGTATGGGTTTTCCTTCTGCATTGATTAAAATGTTTTAAGGTGGGCTAGGGTGATGTCTATGCAACTCTGTGACTGAATCATATACTTTGGACAAGCTATATGGTATGTGAATTAATTATATCTCCATAAAGTGGTTGGAAAAGGTTAAATCATAGGCATGCTGAGTTGTCAGCACCCAGCCTGCACCCTAGTGTCCCGCTGCAGTCCGGCTCACCCGTTCCCAGTCTCTGCCTCCCTTGAATCTCTGTTCTAAAGAACAGATAATAAACGTTTCGCACCCCCTGGACAAAATGTTCTCTGTTACGCATTCTCTTGCTGTTTTAGAGAAAATGCCACCAGACAACAAAGAAATGATCAACTGTAGCTGTCCCCCAACAAAACTTCATTATGGACACAGAAATTTGAATTCTAGACCATATTTCCATGTCACAAATATTCTTTTTGATTTTTTTTATTGTGCCAATATGTACATGTGGTGGGTTAACTAAGGGTCAATTTATAACACCAAGTTGAACTGAATCAGTGTGGTTCTGGGAGTGGAAGGCCCACCTGAAGATTGTTGCCAACAGCATAAAAAGAGAACTGGAGGGGAAGATGTTGCACTGTTGATTCTCCTGGAGAAGGTTGTCATGCTGGTTTTCCTGATATGAACTTGGCTGTTCTATGATGAGAGGAGCTCGGGTCCTCCCGAGCTGAAGATGGATATAGTTCTTTTCAGGAGAGCTGTAGTCCTTACCTTGAGTGTTGATTCATGAATCGACAGTGGAGGTCTCTCAGCCTGCTGTCACAGATCCTTCATCCCGCTGGTGCAGACTTTCTAGCTTCTATCACTGACCTTGGGCCTTCCCAATGCAGATGCTTGATACAGAGTTGGGTGAGACATTGTTGTGGGCTCTAGGCCTCCAGCTGGACTCCTGGAGGACATTGCCATGGGCTCTAGATTTTGGTTGGACTCATGCAGGACACTGTCATGGGATCCAGGCCCTCAGGTGGATTCTTTGGGTCTCTAGTGCATGGACAGATATCCTGCATTCTTCTGCAGTTGACTTTTTGGGTGACTCTTATAAAATAATCCTATAACTTATGTGTCCTGTTTTAAATCTATTCCCTTGTAAGCTCTGACTACAACAGTATGTGATACAAAAATGGTTACATCTTTGCCATCGTTAGATGTACACTACAGTGATATCACCACCATCCATCTCCAGAACTTTCTCATCTCCCCAGCTGAAGCTCTATCTTCAGTAAACGCAGACCCAGAACCCCTCCTCTCCTGGACACCCTCATGCTACTTCCTGTCTCTGTGGATTTGACTCCACTAAGGACCTCATAGAAAAAGAATCATGCAGGATTTGTCCTTTTTGTAACTGGCTTGTTTTGCTTGCAGGCCCATCCATGTTGTAGTGTGAGTCAGAATTTACTTCTTTTGAAGGCTGAGCAATATTCCACCATGTGGATAGACACCCTTTGTTTATCCATTCATCTGTCACCGGACACTTGTGTTGCTTCCACTCCTTGGCTACTGTGAATCACACTGCTATGAACATGGGCGTGCAGATAGTCACCTCTTGCAGAACCTCCTTGTGTTCTCTCTGGTGTAGGACCAGGAATAGAATAATGCCAGATTCATGGTCACTCTATGTTTAACTTTTTATTTTTTATTTTGGGTTTTGAGATGGGGTCTTGCTATGTAGTTCAGTCTGGGCTTGAACTCACTCCGTAGCTCAGGCTGACCTCGAACTCACAGTGTTCCTCCTGCCTCATTCTCCCGAGTGCTGGGATCACAGGAATGCACCACCATGCTCAACTGTTTAACTTTTGAGGCACATCCTCACTGCTCTCCAAAGCAGCTGTACCACTTCACATCCCCACCCAATAGAGCACAGAGTTCCAATATCTTGCTATCTTCTTTTTCTCTTTTCTTTATTGGTAATAGTTCATGTGTATGAATTCTGATTTTTAACCATTTTAAATTTAAGAAATGGTCCCTTGTTTTTGAGCAGAGCAGAAGCAAGTGATGGTCCTGATGTGGCCATGATCTGATGACTCTCTTGTGGAGGACTGGCATGTCCACATGATACCTGGGCTGAGCCACATCCTCAACCACTCCTCAAACTCAACTTGTGGCAGGCTGATTTGGGCCTTCTTTTCCCTAAACCCCAGTGTCCCTTCTGTGTCCCCTCCTAAGAAAAGGCCTCACCCATTGCAGGACAGCAATGTAGGCATCGTGCCTCATCCCCAGGCTCATCCTCTGTCCATGGGCCCAGCCACCTCTCCAACTAGTTGTCATCCTGCCCCCCAGTGCTGCTCTCACCTCTGCACTGGTCTTCTGGACATGGAGCCCACTTCCATACCATCTGTTGTAGTTTAGGTTTGCAAGGAAAACAATTACAGGACACATCATTTATAGAATTATTTTATAGTAGCCATCCAAAGAGTCAAATACAAAAGAGTGCAGGAAATTTGTCCACACACTAAAGACCCAAAGAATCCAGCTGAGGGCCTGGATCCCACAGCAATGTCCTGCACGAATCCAGCTAAAGACCTACAGCCCATGGCAATGCCCCCTACGAGTCCA